TTTTTAAATATAAATTGAGATTTTAAGTTTTTAAAAATCAAGATTAATATATGTACTAATTTATTAAAATAAGTATCAAATATATTAATTATATTTTTAAAATGTTTTTTTATCTTGATTGTATAATGGAAGGCGGTTTCATTTTTTATTCCATCTCACTCATATAATATGTGATTCAAATTCAAAATCTTTTATTTAAAAAAAAAGATCATTAAATTATTTTAATTCGTTGAATATATTTTTAAATTATTAAAAACCCAAAAAAAAATCTATAATTACGACTACGTACTGTCGTTGTCAAACTCGACCTCGTAACTTGTAAGTCTAACTTAAATACATTTTGGGTTGGATCTAAAGTAGTTGGGCAGCTCACCGGTATTCCACCTGCATTCCATAATTAACTGCTCGCCAGCCCAGCTCTCCTCTCTTCTTTACATAGAATTCTGTCTCTCTCCCTTGCAGGCCTAGCTCCTTTGTTCCTCCCTCATATTTATCACATGGCCGGATTTTTGTCGCTTCTCCGGCGCGTCTACCTCTCCATCTACAACTGGACTGTCTTCGCCGGCTGGTACCTTCATTTCATTTCTTCACCGATTCTCATCTGCAAATCTGTTGTGAATCCGAATTTAATTTTTTTGGTTTTTTGTTTGGTTGTTTCTAGGTGTCAGGTTTTGTACTTTGCCCTGAAGACGTTGACGGAATCCGGACACGAACACGTCTACAATGCCGTTGAAAAGCCTCTCCTGCTCGCTCAGACGGCTGCCGTTTTGGAGGTGCGCCACACTTGCGGTGTTTATTGTTTCTTCGTATTTCATCCATTTCCTGTTTTTTCTCCGGAAATTTCATTCCTGGAAAATGTTTCTGGGAATTCCAGGAGCTGTTTTCCCATAGTCATTTCACTTATACTGATAATGTCTAATTTTGCTTTCCATTTTGGATTTTGTTGTGGAACAGATTCTCCATGGTTTACTGGGTGAGTATATAAGCTAATTTAGTTACAATTTATCGAATTTAAAGTGTTTTGAGGAGCAGGAATTGATCTCTATTTTGCTGGTTGGAACAGGTTTGGTGAGATCTCCAATATCGGCCACGCTGCCGCAGATTGGGTCAAGATTGTATCTAACTTGGGGCGTTTTATGGAGTTTTCCTGAGGTTTGGATCTTAAAAACTACTATTGGAACTGTAAATTAGGAATACTAGAGATTTTCTTGCTCTTAATCTTGACCAAACAATTATTTTGATCTTCAGATTCAGAAGCATGTTCTTGTTAGCTCCCTGGTCATTAGTTGGTCAATTACAGAGGTGAGTGTTGTATAGATTGTCATATCAGCTACTTTAGATTAGACCCAGTTAATGTTTAGTGCTTTGTTTTCAGCTATCTTATTAGGATTTGGCAATAATTGGAAAGCTACCAACTGTATGCACACCAATTGTTAGAAAAAATTACTCTGTGAATAGCCTGATAAAAGGGGATTTTTTTTTTTTTTTTTAACTTTAATGCCACCTTATGTAAGTCTGTTATCTATCATGCTGATGATCTGGTTGATTTGAACTTCTACAATACAAACTTATTTAAGTCTGCACGTGAGTGGTGAACATTTCCTGTAGTAATTATTGGAGAGCTTCTAATGCCAAGCTCATGTGCTTTGTGGATAAGTTGAATTTCTCAATTGACTGAATGTGTATCATCTTGAAATTGCAGATTATTCGTTACTCTTTCTTTGGTGCAAAGGAGGCCTTTGGTTCTGCTCCATCTTGGCTCTTGTGGTTCAGGTGTCGAGCATTTCTTTCTTATGGAAATAAGTCAGATCACCTTCGTGTGTCTATTGCATTAACATTCAAAATTTATGCCATGCAGATATAGCACCTTTTTGTTATTATATCCAACCGGTATAACCAGTGAAGTTGGTCTAATATATAATGCCCTGCCATATATCAAGGTAACAACTTTAATCCAGTGAAAACTGTTAATTAGTGTTACCTAGGTAAAATGATATTGTTTCTGTTCGTGTCTAGCACTAATATATTGAGAAAATGTAACATAACTTACATTGCTATAGTAGCCGGTCGACCATGGACAAGCGAAAGAATTTAACTAATTAACTTGTTATTATGTGTCAAAATCTCTCCTGAAGGAACTAAAGTAATTGACTAATTTGAATCATTTGAATATGCTGTGTTTGGTCTTAGTTTGAAGAGAAAAAGATGGACATCTTAATACTGGCTTCTGTTATATACTTTTAATTCATCCATTGAGCATCTACTTGCAATGTGCAACCAACTAAACTTGAGGCAATTAATTGCAGGGATCTGAAAAGTATTGCATAAGAATGCCGAATAAATGGAATTTCTCTTTTGACTACTTCTATGCTGCAATTATTGCCCTCGGAATCTATGCCCCAGGTATGAACCTAATCCTCCATATCGGCACACATGCTTCCCCTTAATAGTTGTTTTGTTGTCATTTGTTTGCTGCCTATTACTTAACTGGGTCTCAAAATTTCATTGCAGGAAGTCCTCACATGTACACATATATGCTCGGGCAGAGGAAGAAAGCTCTTGCCAAGTCGAAACGGGAATAGAACAATATTTAATGTTATTCATTATTTGTTGGAATCATTTTGTGTAACTTTTCAATCTGATGTTAATGTTGTATGTTTAAGTCTTCACTAAGAATGGTCCTAATCACTGCGTCTTTGTTCTCTCGTTCATAACTATTGGCTAGAAAACTTCAAGTCTTGAGAAATTCTGCCATGTAGCAGGATAACTATGCTGTGGTGTCTTAAACAGAGATGAAATGATAACCATTTTTTACTCCGGGGCTGGATCACAAAACCCCCCCCTTTCATTGATTTTTTTATAGAAGGTAAGACCTTAAGTCCGAAGGTTCGAGATGTTGACTATTAAGGCCAATAGTTTTAACCTTAAACTCCTAGCTAGTGCTATGATATGGAGTAATTATGTAGGTTTGGTCCTTCATTGTAGGGAACCTTGATATTATTTTTGAGGGTTGTCTTTGGTTTTCAAACTGAAATTTCTCTAGTTCAACCTTTGACACGAAGAAGGGTTTGACTGAGCATGACCATCTCGTCATATGTTGTGTTATTAAATGTAGTCACATTCATATATCTAAATTTAAAAACATATTAAAACAAAACCAAAAAAATTTCTTTGTGTTTGTATTATGTGATCACACTTATTTTTACTTATAAATTGAATAATTTTTTCTTTAAACTCCTTAATTGAATCTAAACTAAATTGGAAACAAGTTCAAACATTCCTTTCTACACTGCACTTAATTTTTTTTATTCAATTCAATTATTATTATATAATCTATTTATCAAATTCCTATTAAAAATGTGGAATTGAGTTTGAAAAAAAATATCTTTTTGCATTTCATTTTTTTTTTCCTTTTTTATTTTTGCTAAAAACAAGGATAAAATTAAGTAGGCTTTGCACTATTTTACCAAAAAATATGTAGAAGCTCATCTTTTCCAGTTCTTCCCACAAAACTAAAACCCCATCTTCTCTCCCTCATTGCAACCGAACCCCTTCCTCACCGAAGCCCATGCCTGACAAACCCCTTGCATGACAGATCTAACAAATCACCAAGGGTTGATCCTTATGAAATAGGGGCATTTTTTGTTTCTTTCTTTGGACTACTTTTTCATTAGAAATTGATATGAACTTGATTTGACAAACTAAAACCCCATTTTTTCTCTCTTATTGGGTGGAGAATCCACACGATAACCACACAACTCACAGGTTAAGATTTTCTCAGTTACAATATTTGTTTGTTTGAAAGGGTAAATATGTATGAATTTATAAAAATAAAAAAATAAAAAAAGAGAAGGGTGAATATATATATATATATATGAATGCAGAAAATTAAACTGGCAATTAAATTATTGAAATAAAAAATGTTAAATACGATTAATAAATTCATAAAAAAATAAATTTATAAAAATATTTGCATAATTTTATAAGTAAACAATTACAATACTAGAATATTAAAACATTTACTGTTCTCAATATATATTTATAAATGTCATTTTCAGTTTCAATTACATGCAGTCTGATATAAAAGTAATTAATTACTCTCAAGCTATTAACAGGTATTTTGATACTTTTATAATATAGATTGCATAGAAAATTTACAATTCAAACCAAAAAAATAGATATACTCATACATAATTATGAAACTCAAATTTTTTAAGTGCAGTTTATACCTAAAAAAATACCTTTTTGTATAGAGAATGTTGCTCCGTTCTGTGCCACTTCAATTTAATTATAGCCCTAAGCCATTGGGAAAGTTTACAATAAAGTCAGCTTGGTGGTCGGTGCATGTCGATGTCCATGGATTCCATTCTCTTTCAAAGGGCCACAGTAACTTACACCGTTTTAGTTTTAGGACACGGTTCCATCCAAAATTGAAGCAACAATTCACAATTTCACATATAAGATGATTGAACATTTTTTTTTTTTCTTTTTTTGCCGTCTATAATTTGAGGAGAGAGATTTTTTTCAAAGTAGTAGTGTGAATCAAAACATCAGGTAACAAAATCAAACGTTTTAAGGTTTCGCAACAAAACACTGAATCCGAAGGTTAATTCTGATTGAACACATTGTTTATCTAATAAAAACACAAGGATTTACATTTTACACATTATTACAGCATTGTTAAGGCTGCCAAAAAAGGGTTTCCTCTGCGGAGCACAGTTTTTCAATCACGAAGAAACCTCTGCAAACAACGAAACCCAAAATACTGAGCACAAAACCTCTCCATTTCTTCGCCTCCGCTCTCCACGCACACCCCCTCCTCCATCTCCTCCACCATCGCATCCCAATCCCTCATCAAGAAAATCCCCCGTGGGCCCCATCCCGGATACCCATCATCCTCAACCTTTGCCGCTGATAACGCGTCCAGAACCTCCTGCAACCCCACGATCCGGTGGCTCACCTTCCTCCTTGCCTCCCTCACGGTCGGATCAATTCCGGGGACAGAATCGAGTTTTAGTAAAACACCCATCAGGGCCTCGTTCATCCTCAGCTTCTCGCGGTCGTTGGTGCGGATGGAATCCACTGTATCCTGGCATTGGATCAGGCGTTGTAGACGGTCAGCCTCTGAATTGGCGGCTGAGATTTGCTTGTAGAGAGTGCGAATGAGGTGGGCCCGGTAGACCGACTGGATCTTGGTGGCAGCGTCGTGTTGGGGAAGGTGAACCGTGATGGGAACGGGGGGCGAGTCGACGGGGATTTCCTCGGAGGTGACGGTGACCGTCGTTGAAGAGAAAAAGCTGAATTTCCGGGAGGGTGTCATGGCTACGGAGTGGAAAAAAGGACGTCCTCGCAGACTCTAGAACGTTACGCTTATGCCTTTGTGTTAGTAGTTCTGTGAACTATGGCTACGGACGCGTGGCTGTATGAGCATGCACCGTCGGCCCGCTAGTGGGACCCACGGACGCTCGCCCTTTTTGGACCCGGTCCTTCCTTTCTCGTTCTTAATGAATCATGATGAAAGATGAAGAGCTGCCCGTTACTCCTTTGGGGCATCTATTTCTTTCTCTTCTCAAATTTAATGTAAAATTTCTTTCTATCATGCCCAAGCTAACTAATAGTATAGTAAAATATTAGATAAAAAATATTTTAAAATTATATTATTTTAATAAAATTATATAAAAAAAAACAAAAAAACCTAAATTTTAAAACAAGAAGAAAAACAAAATTAATTTTTTTTTGTGTTACTTATTTAAAGGAAATAATTTTAAAATATTTTTTTATTCAATTTTTTATAAGATAAATTCATACTTATTGATCCACATAAAAATACCTTAACTTTATCTAGAGAAAAATAAATATTAAGGTATACTAACACTTTAAATGACACAATTTCTTATAAAATTATTCACTTGTCTTTAATAAATATATTTTGTATATTAATTTATTAAAAATAGTTTAATCTTTTTACCATTCTTGTCATTTTAATTGTTGAGAAATCTTGATTTTCCTTAATTCTTTCTATTTATTAAAGAAATTTATTTAATTAAGCATGAGACTAATCCAGCCATGAGAAATTCAGTTCAATGGATCACATGTACTTGCAAATAGCAATGACCGTCTCCTCAAGGAGATGGAAGAATCTTCCCAGTGCATGTCCCGAACCCAACATTGTAACCGTCTCCCTGCAACGATTTTAAATTTGAATTTTTAAGGCACTGCCGATTTAGCCAAAAATAAAGTCATAATTCAAATATTTCAAAAGATTAATTTAATAGATGACATAATATCAAGCTTCAAGCATGACACAGGTTTAAGCCGCTTAGTTTTGCTAGATTCAACATCTCACCCAATTCAGGTAAATATCTATGCAAAACAACCATGGGAGTAAACTGCTACACAACATAGAGCGGGCTATGCTTTTACGAAGTTCAATTGAATGTTCTAATAAGGTTTGAGAATTGCATAGAATTGCCATAGAACCAACAAGGCCTCAGTCAGAATAGGTAGCAACAAGCTTAAAAACCATGATACTGTGGACAAGGTCAGGGTTTGTTTCCCTACAAGTCTACGATAGCTAAACCCTAACCTTCCTTTGCCAATCCAAAAAAAAGGCACCTTGAAACTCATAGCCTTCATGAAAAATTTGCATGATGATGCCATATGGTGCAATCATAATTACTCATTGCAAGTTCGCAAATGCTATAAGAAGTTGAACTGAGTGAGATTGAATAATTTACCTTGCAACAACCAGCGAAGATCACTTCATCCCCATCTTCTAAGAATTTACGAGTTGTTCCATTTAATGACACTGGGTTTTGTCCATTCCATGTCAATTCAAGCAAACATCCAAAAGAATCTTGCTCCTGTCAAGAATATGATACAAAATTAGATTTCATTCTTCCAAATACAGTACTTGATCATATTTATGACATGTAAACAAAGGGGTTAAAAATCTAATATGCATCTTGTTATGTTATACCTATGCAAACATGAATTATATGCATCCCTTGAAGACAAAATATTAGTATAAGAAAAGGAAAAAAAATGAAACTTTGGTATCTTTGAATATCGAGGTGTAATCACTGAAGCTATGGGAGGGAATAAGTAAATGACAGAGAAAGAATAAAGACAGGCACCATGTAATCTCAGATCAAGATCATATCCAAAGAGCATGGTTGAAATTTTGCCATTATCCATTTATACATACAGTTATTCGTGTGTGCCTGTGATTGTGTTTGTCTTGTTAGTTAACTAAAAATAACATACAGGTCCACTGATGGTTCCAGTTCCAAAGAGATCTCCAGGCCGCAAGTTGCAACCATTGATTGTATGGTGTGCCAACTGTTGAGTCAACGTCCAATATCTGTTACAAAAAAATTTAAGAAATTTAGAATACATTTCAATAGAGGCAAATCAACATTTTTGTAAGTTATAGTTAAGTATGAAAGATATGATGTTCACTTCTCAGCTCAAATAAATTTCTAGAATTCAAATTTCTAGAACTCAAAATTAATTATCCATGTATTTATAGGATAACCAAGAACAGGAGAAGCCTATGATGCACCTAGAGCCATTAACAAATAACAGCATTCTTCATGTTTGGAACCGTGCTCCTAGTTCACCACTGTCCACAGGCAAATTCCAAAAGGTTTAACATCACCAATTTCAGGTAATTGATCCATGTTAACCTGAACAGTGAATTATAGATTTTTTTTTTCGCCAACACAATAATAATCAATTATGAAAACCAAACAAACAGTTTTAACAATCTATTTGTGATTAGGGAAAAATACAAGTCTATTTTGAAACTGCTTCCAAAATAATAAGATCATCATGAAAGTGAAACTCTTACAAGTACTTGAAATTACTTCTTGTAACCACGTAAGAATCTTTTTGTCCAGCAGGTTTGATTTGAACCTAGCACCAAGAAGTCACATTCTTCAACAAACCGAGAATGCAATTAAATCTAAATATATTTAGTGTAAAATTTTATGACAATGATACAGAAGAACAAGAGGACTAGTGCAAATGTATGGAGAAAACAATGTCATATGCATTTAAGCTGCTCGATGATACCTCCAAAGAAATGTCATAGTTTTGGGAAATCTTCTCAGCCAGATATGGCAACGGTTTGGGATTCTGCACAACACATAGCACATTTTACAGCATGTTTCCTTATCAACGCAAGATAAATAAGGAGAATATGAAAAGGGTTTTAGTCTCTGAAACAAATTGACATAGATCCAACCTGCTCAGGAGCATCAATGGCAAAAGGTTCAAGGGCATCTAATGTCACAATCCAAGGGGATACAGTAGTGCCTAAAAGATTTTCATTAAGAAGTGAGTACCTGCTTTAACCTTTTGGACCAAATAATCAATTAGTAAGAAAAGGACAGACTAGCTATTTTCAGTGGCAGATCTACCTGCAGCTACAGTAATTTTAGAAAACCACACATGAGATACTTAAGAGGTTCTTATCTTTTACCCCATTGGCCCAGGGTCAATATTGGCTAGTTTACTTAGAATGATGGTTTTATTCTTTTATGATTAACAGGTTCTACATATTTTAACATAAAAATTGACAAATTTGGCAATTTCCAATTTTAAGAGGTATTATGCTTTTATCTATTCCTTAAACTAATCTAGCATAGATTTGCCAAGGCTAGGCTGTTTCACACACTATGATGGATTGTCATACATTTTCCCATAGATTTGCCAAAGGAAATTCTGGCTCTGCACTAAACAACAACTACTGAATGAACATCTTATAAACTGAACTCCCAAGAAAGAAGGAAGAACTTTTCAATTTCTTACCAAAACTCTTCCCAAGGAAAGGCCCAAGTGGTACATATTCCCATGCCTGAATATCCCTAGCTGTCAAAACCAAACTTGTTTTAAATGTATTAAGGAAAATCTTATAAAATAAAAATAGTAATAAAGAAAAAAAAAGACCACATGGAAATGAATCACTGAAAGTCTATGCATACCACTCCAGTCGTTCATCAAGACAAGCCCAAATATATGATCTGCTGCCTCATTAACATTTATAGGTTTTCCTAATTCATTTCCAGGACCAACTATAGCAGCCTGCAAACATCAGGAGAATCCACATGACACAAATAAAAAATTATGATGGTAATCTGAACTGAAAGGATTTGGCATGAAGAATTTTATGGTATATAGTTCCAAAGGGCTAACCATTTCAAGCTCAAAATCAAGCTTCTGTGAAGGTCCAAAATATGGTGGTGAATCCCCAGACGGACGACCCTGACCCCTGTAAGAATACGTAACAACCAAAAGTTTATGGTGAGACGGACTTTAAATGAAAGATGGTATACAAACGCAGAATGCAGAACAGTTTCCATGGCCAAGGATCAGTAATCCCTAATCACCAGGCATTAGGTATATTATTGGGTCTATAATAAACATTATATCAAACATGCAAAATCAAAGTTCTCAGAAATAGTATGCTATGCTGGTATCCCAGAGAAACTCTAAGAGTAATATCAATTCGAAGAAACAAATAGCTACTCTATGTAAATATCATTCAATTATACCATGATATATGATTAAAAGAAAGGTGACAAAAAAAAAAGGATTATAAGAAATGAATCTTCTTCTGACCTTGGTCGTATTATGTCAGTTCCAGAGATGACAATAGATGATGCTCGGCCATGATATGCGATTGGAAGATGGAACCTGGAAAGTTGATATACTTATAAACTTGAAAAAGTATAGAACGTAGGATTTGTACAGTAATGACAAATCCAATTTTCATTCAGCCTACTCTCTATTCATTAAAACACTCAAAATGTGAAAATGAGCATACCAGTTTGGAGAGATTGGGTTCTGGGGTCCACGAAATATAGTTCCACAGTTCTTTGCATGATGCATTGACGCAAAGAAATCTGTGTAGTCTCCAATTACCATGGGAAGAACCATTTCCACCTTGTTCTAAGGATTCAAGCAAAAAGAAAACATGAAAAGTTAGTAAAACAGACATCAAGATCCATACTGAAGATTAAATAACAAAAGCCAATATGCATGAAGTACCATTGGCACAAGTGCTTTTAGCCTCAAATTTGCATTGTCACGCAAGGTCAGTTCAGAAGCTGCATTATCCAAGTACATGTTATTTATATCATTTTTCTGTCCCAAAAACATATCCCCATTTTCTTGGAATAAAGAACTAGTGAAACCACACGCTTCTTTTATAACTTAGCATTTATATGATATATTCTTCGCATGAAAATGCCAGAAGAAATAAAAAAAAAAAAATTTTAATCAATCAATTAAATGGATTTGAGTACAACTGCATACATGATAGCAGCTTTTGAAGGGTAGCACGAGCTTCCTTCCATGCAGGCCGGCCCATGGCCAAAAATTTATTGAGGACAGGCTGCACCAAAATAAGACAAATAATAAGCAATTTATTTAGTTTTTCATTGAAATTCAGGAACTAAAATCTCAACCAAAAAAATAAGATGTTATGATTTAACTTTGGACCACCATCAGCAGCTAATAACACCACACCAGCTTAAGTGTTTAACAAATATGTCGGCAACTTGGAGCTATTATCTCAATACAGATTAATAAGTTATTAAGTAACATTATTATGAAGTAAAAACAACTGCAATCAAGAAGCTCGGTCCTTAATTGCCAGAGGACATTAACTTGAAACAAGAATCTGATGAAACCAAGACTCAACACAAATTCAGTGGATTCATAAGCTAAAACTAATTTTCTCCCTCAAAATACTACTGACTACAGGATTCTATAATCTGTTTCGTATTCCGATTTCCAGACTAATCATTCAACAATTCTAGAAGCTGAATTTGGAAACAAATGATACCAGATACCAAAAATCATCTAATTCAACTTTAAGCTCGACTAATTTACTAATCAAGGCACTAGAAAAGGGACAAGCAGGATGAACATGCATTAAACTGAATTAGCGATGAACGATTGAACAGAACAAAGAATATACGAACCTGAAGAAAGCAATCGGAGTCCTTGAGTAACGGACCAGTGAAAAGACCGGCCTTGGCAATCTCCGATAGGTCCAGCACATAATCACCAATCGCGACACCGGGTCGAGCCGGCGATTGAGGTTCCGGTTTGAAGACCCCGTATGGGAGGTTCTGGATGGGGAAATGAGAGTCCGGATGAGCTTCAATGAACGATTTCAAAGCCATGGCTACTTCCAAAACCAGAGCCGGTGAGAGCAGTTTTCAGTTTCAGCGGATAAGAATGTGAGCTGGAAGTTTGCAGTACCTAGGAGTCTAGGACAAATCGTCAGATGAGGCGTAAGCTTTCGTCTTTCTAATATTTCTATTTTTTTTATTTTAATTTCCTATATGAGATTCCTATTTTCTGCTAACTTATATAGTACAGGGGAAAGTGCAGATTCTGATTCCCAAAATATATAAAGTTTTACCGATGAGGGTTGGATTAAATGGTAAACGACTTGTTTCAGCTTAAATAAGGTCTCAAGTTTGAGATTTTGTGGATACAGTAGCTCCCATTGGGACACTTACCCATCATTTTCAGGTGCACGATGCTGGTCAGATCCAAATTAGTCGGGATAAAACACTGGATACCAGGCGGGAAACCAAAATATATATATATATATAAAGTTTTAACTTTAAATTATTTTATTTTATTTTATTAAAAATTAATTTAAAATTTAAAAAATTA